GGCTCTCCAGGGCGGGGCACCGAAACGTTATTTCTAGAGATCCTAGACCCACAGATTCCAAGGCCAAGTTGTGCGTCTTCTTTATGTGTTCAATTAATCCAGACACTCCTTCTGTAGTTGAAATGTTGCGATACTGGACGTACACTTGTATTTGTCGTGCCAGAGTTTCATGGACTATTTTGCTCTGTTCATCAGTCAGTTCTACAAAGCAATGCTTTGTAATAATGTCTGAAAACAAAGAAAATGTCCCTGATTTTAGTATACATAGTTTGAGTGTGCAAAATCTGCTCCCCAGATTTGTAGAATTCGCCAGCACAAAGTCAAATCTGTTATTAAATCTGAGTTATCAGTTACAGTGAGTAAAGAATTACACCTCTTCAGTGTGAAAGGTAACAAGTACTAAAGGAAAAAGCGCTTTTGAGTGGTGAAGAATCATTGCATGCTTTGGTTCGTACCTGGATTACTCGAAGATCCCGAGATTTTACGCTTACGGATAATTTGCGACTCATTATTAGAAGATTTTTCAGTTTGATCTCCTGCTGCAGAAGTAGCTTTCTTTTCCGAGCTTCTTGTTTCTATGGAGTTCGTTGGTTTATTGGCCATTTCAGTAGAAGGCCCTGTGAAAGCAAGGGTAGGTCACAATTATATTCATGTAAACTTGTTAAAGGGAAAAAGACAAATCTTTCATTTCCAATAAAATGCCTAAGTAGACAAGGTGTATTGTATGGCCATTCACGGTCTTCGATGAACAGTTATGGCTTAGGCAGTGGTACAACCCAGGGGAACGCGCCAACTGAGCAAACCTTAAAGGGCTATATGTTAAGGCGTAAAAAGTATTTTCATTGATCAGAGGTTAAAACTAACGCGACTATTGCCAACTAACACCCGGAGAATAGTACATTGACAGACAATTATTATTCCCTCCTTGGTTCTCTTTCAGTGAATCACTCGGATAATAAAACATATATAATTAATCAACTTAATTCTACGTGTTATCTTTTAACTGTTCGTTAAATTCGTACCATTGACCATTTCCCACATTCTCTCCACAAGGGTCTCACATTGCTCCTTCCACCTGTAGATCTCCCCATAACATGCTTTCAGTGATTTTATCTCCTGAAGCCTCATTCGATGCCTGATACGAACAGCTTCTATAGCTTTTGCCCATTTTGCAGGATCATCTGAATAAACGATGCATGTATGACCATGAGGAACATTTTCTAATGCTTTGGCAAATCCTGACTTACTAGCCACAAGAATGGGTAAACCTGCAGACAAAGCTTCAAGTGCAACAAGGCCAAATCCCTCTGATTTTGATGGCATGATGGCAAGGTCAGCTTCGCACAACAAATCTTTCAGTCTGTCTCTACTTTGTATAAATTTTCTAACAGTCAACTGTGCTTCTGCAATACCACGCTGTAGAAGTTTTTCTCTAACTTCTTCTTGCTTTCCTTCAGGTGCTCCGACAAAAATTAGATGGTAAGGTTTGTTTTTTAACCGCTGATCAGTGAATGCTTGAGCAGCAATGTTGTATCCCTTGAGTTCAAAGTCCTCATCATCCCCACGACCAAATAACAGTACTTTAAACTCAGCATGCTCATTATGGGTTTGCATTAAATCCCCAAACTCCCTTTGAAAAAGGCCTGGAGTAATTGGTAAAACTTCTTGATAAGTCTTACATCGCTGTAAATATGAAGTGTAGGCTTCGTTAAGTCTGGGTCCCACAGGCACGACAAGATCAGCAAGTTTGCAAAGTTCAACTTCTGATTCGTGTTTTGTTTCTCCTTTTGAAATGGGGTCACTGTAGCATTTGTATCTGCTAAGGTCCTCTGGAGCAGTATGCACCACTTGTACCCACTTACAATTTGGAAATTGAGCAGAGTCTCTAATGAATTGTACCTGCCGACCAAGTTTTACACCATGGCCAACAACAATGTCCATGAAGTGGCCCTGGGGTGGGATGCTCAACCAATCAAGACGATCATATGCTGGACGCTTTTTTGCCTCAACAATGGTGATTCCATAGCCATCAGCTTCTCTTATTTCTTCACTGCTGCAAGCTTTTTCTGGACATAATAGAGATACAATTACTCCTGGCTGCTCTGAAAGGTGAATAGCAACCTCTCTGTTTATGGTTGACAACCCACCAGCAGATGAACCCCACTCATCACCAAGAAGAGTAACGTTCAAGGTTCTGCAGGTAGCAGATAACGCACTCTGTCCAGTTGCTTGCTGTAATATGGTTTCATCTCCGGTTTTAGAAGAGCTAGTCTGGAGGAAAGAATGAAAATAATGAAAACGACAAGCCACTTGAAAATGCTGGAGAGTTTGTTATTGTTTGCTGTCAGGAGACCCATAAAAAAGCGGCCTTGGTGAGTTTTAAGGTTTCAAATTGTCTTCAGAAATAAACAAACGGACAGTAACAGTTACTACACAAATCACGTGTTAATTCCTGTTTTAATCGTTTCAAAAGGCATAATTTAGAACTGCATATTTTGTTTTTAAATTGCTGTGGTAAATTCTGTTTCGCAAACAACGTCTACTTGTCTTGTAAGCCTTTCACTATCCAAGAGGAAGCGCCGCATAGCAGAACTGTTCTTTGTCTTAAATTAAGATCACACATCAACATCCAGAGCAATATTTTGCCAAAGTAAAGACCCAGCGAAAACTATGGGTTATTTCTATAACCCTGAAATAATTTTGGGAGAAAAATTTGCCACAAATTTACATGCTAAGTTTTGCTGAAAATGAAAGCTAACAAATCAAGTGAAGCATTACAACAAAAGGTATAATGCATGCTTCCTTTATTTCATTCACGTTGAAAGTAAGAAAATAATTAAACAGGTATGCCTTTTAAAACAAAAAAACAAACTCTGTGCCTGTGTGCGTAAAACTCTGTGCCTCTGTGCGTGAAAAGCTTGGAAGAGTTTTTTGTTTCAATCCAGGAACCTTCAATGATCAATAAATTCACCGAAGAAAGATACTTCGTATAATTGTCGCTATTGTCTTGTTTTTGTACCCCATCAATCTGCCCCTTACTATGAAAGATTGGTGTCTTCAGTCAAAGCTTTGGATGGATTGAGGCTTTTTATAAAACAAGTGAAAACAGAAAACCTCGTGAGAAGTCGGACAGTTGACGTTCCATGTTTCTTTCTCGTTTTGGAGTTGGCGAGAAGATGCAGCCATGGCTCAGTGGTGACGGAAAATGCAGATCCTCCGTGATGTACCGCTATGTTGTCCCTATAACTGTGAAAAATTGAAGATGAAACTCATATTTTACGCAATATATCAAACATGAGATGCAGTGTTCCATCACCAGATGAAACACCAAGAAGAGAGTTGAAAATACGACGCGCAGTGGAGTATTTTTGACGAACTTCGAGGTGTTTCATCTGGTGATGAAACACTGTGTCGAATGTTTGATATTTCTTCTCAAACAAAATCATTTTTGAAGGAGAAATTAAGGATGCAAATACTAAGCAGTGTTTCATCCGATTTCCAAACACTCATTAAACATTAATTTCCTTTGTATTTTCTTAATGAATTATTAATGAGTTTGAGAATATATTATCCAAGCTATTCTTCTATAAGACATATGGTTTTTACTAACAGAGAAACTAACATCCTAACATCCCGTTTCCACGACTGTTATGAAAAGAAACTGTATTATCACATCTAATGAACCCAACTGGCTATTTTGTAAGCATTAAGATTAATTTTATCCCATCATACCCTGGACTGAGAGACAAACTTCTTTCCAGAGTACATACTCCCACTGTATGTCTGAATATTTTAAAGTAAGCAATGATTTTTTTAATTTTTAATTTTGTTTCTCTACTTTAAATTAACGAATCAAGAATTAGTTATCAATAGCATTTGCAGCAATGTACATGATACTCTTGCAGCACTGTAATACTCAGATCTGTTGGAGAACATAAAACTTTGCTTCTTTCAACTGAGTTGGAAATAGCCAATTTCCGAGAAACACACCCAGCTTGTGGTCAGAGCTGGAATCCTTGGATTGCGAGTCCGACGAGCTGAATATATATACTCAGCCACACTTCCTCCTCATGGCACCATACCGGAACTACAACAACAGTAAATCGTTGAATGAAAAGTGTTCATTGATTCCGTGAGTATTTAGACCGCCATAGGTTTTGCATGCACTTTTGCAGAAGTCTACATAGGCGTATTACAAGCGGAAACTAAGCTTCCGTTTCCGCAAACCTCTTATACGAAATGTGTATCAAAACCAGAAGGGTAACATTTCAAGCCTCCTAATCATTCTACGAATATCAAATGGGAAACAAATGCAAGAGCTGGTGTCGCATTACAACCTTTAGGCTTTTATATAATTAACAATTGACAACAAAGTAATTGAAGCTAAAAAATTCAACTTGGACTGATGTAAGTCAAGAAAATTGATCTTTACGCACGGTGGATTGGAGAACCGATTAACTTTTAATTTCCTTTATTTTTCTTTCAAATGGATCACCATGCATAGAAGCATGATTTGTAACAATGGAATAAATGCTTGATATATTGAATGACAGCCAGCTACCAGAAAGTTGACCTATGAAATCTTTTAAAACTAGACATAGGTATATATTAATTTTATTCGCACTAATGCACACGCATTTAGATGCCGGTACACATCAACCGTGTATAAATAATGATTAAATATTAAAGAACAAAACGAGGCTGCCAAATCCGTTATTTATTACTGAATCTACAAGTATTAGATGTAAAATATGTAATGTGTTAGGAATCAACCAACTTCAACCGTCGTGGAAGTAGTAGACGCTAAAACTTTCACAAACGAAATGGCAGACAAGACAGGCAAGTTCTGCATTGCTGAGCACGGCCTGGTGGGCCTTCGTAATCCCTTTCACGATAGTGCTAAAACGACCGCCAGTTTGCGTAAAAGCGACTTGTATTTTTATAGAAACAACTCAAGCTGCAAGTTTGAAATGAAACGACCTGAATCCCACACCTTAATGTTGTCAATGCTTTATACAAAAATAACTTGAGGAACCCTACTTGAATCTATACAAGAACGGAAGTTAATATCTCGAATTTCTTTGCGTAAAGTAGCACCGTTATTCGGCGTTCAGTGCTACATTTACCTCAAAGAATAAGGCTTGTAAGCATCCGAATCTAGGTAATCACTATTAGTATTTATGATTGCAGTAGGAGCAATCGATCATCCAACTAATGCCTGCTCAGATGCAAATTTGCGAAGGGTTATTTGTTAGGTGTGATAAACAACCTTAATTTTCTTACCTTGACGCCTTGCAAAGTCCACCTATTATCCCTTTCTTCCGGTTATATCTTATTAGATCTGACTTTAGGGATTTATCTTGCTGAGTCGGCCAACTAACAAGATCTAACTAAACCGACGCCGCCATTTTTAACGCTAAATCAGCCAAGCGGAATCAGATTTACGTATTTCTTGCAGAATTCATAGTGACCGTATCAGGGCGCATAAAACAAACTCACTTCCGCTGACTTCAAACCGGGAGTTTAAGTACCCCTGTGTAGCCGCGGGACTCTTTTTGGGTAGTGCTCGGCACTGCCGGTCCTTTTCTAGCAATTTGGAAACTTCTTTTTTGTTTTAGAGCGGCCAATTCCAAAATTAAAACACTGAATATCAATTTCCGTGGCCGCCCAATGACTTTCTTTCTGCTTATCGATCTTTACTCTGCCCGTTACTTTTTTCTGCTGGTACAATCCAATAAAGCGAAGAACCTGAAATATTCACTTCATCTAAATTTTTTAGTACACATACCCTTGAATTATACGAAAAATCGTACATACGCGCGAGTTCTAGTGTTAATTTTTCCCTTAAAAAGCATATCGCCGTCAATTCTGACAATCGTAGCCCTTTTGTTACGTCATCAGGTAACTCGTATTAGACCTGGACGTAATTAAGTCAACGTCACTCCCACCAGCAATAATTTAAACTAAAACATGACTCCGTTTTACTGAATTTGAGTTAACAATATCATTGTCACACAATGCTCAACCTGTGTGCAGTTACAAAATTTTGCATTCGGACAATGACGGACAAAAGTGTTGAGACATTTCCACGAAATGGAACCCTTTTTGCATAGTAGACATCTCTATCCCCCCAACCGCTTCCCCCGAAAATCCGAAATCAGTGTTGTAAATTAAACTACAACGTACTTGTTGTGGTTCAATTTTATTCTTGGTTTAAATTATTTCCCTTTGGTTCTCACTTGTTATCATCCATTAACAGTTCCCATAACAAAATTTCAACCAGGGAAAAAATTGAACCGCAACATCTACTTAAACTACACTGTAGTTAATTAATTTGTGACAGTACTGACCTTGAATCCCTGATTGAACGTTTTGCATCTTTTTCAGTCTTCCACTGATCTTGATATGAAGAAAAAACAAAACTAAACACTCTCAGTTGCCGTTCTGTGGTCTTTAGAACTTGTTATCTCAGCTGTGCCACCATATCATCACGTTTGGCTTAAAGCAGCTTGGAATTAAGCCGCTCACACTGCGAAGATAAGACTGAGATGTAAGACTACAGCACTTGAACTGTTCCTGGGAGAGTCTTCAATGAAAGAGTGGATGGTTTTTCCTTACTTTTTTTGCTACTTTCGTTTTGCAAATTAATTCTGAAATACTCCAGGGAGTCTAAAAGTAGTTTTAACATTGATGAAGGCAATGCCCTACACTTCAGCACCTGACAGAATAGCCGGTTACTTTCAAATAACATCTGCTGAAGAGATTCTTGAGTTTGAGATTTTATAGTAGAGTTCAACAAAACAGCTGCCTTGCAGACTAAACACACACAACAACAAACTTGTGAAAGTATTTGTAGTTTAAAATGTCCATTTTTGCAATGGTTTTCACTTCCTGCAATTTTCAACAATTTATCAAACACAGCCAAAGCTTCTGTTGAGTTTCCAGCCTTATTACAAATCCTGCCATAATGAAATCCAAGTTCAGCTAAGGGTACTGTAAATTCTCTTCCATTTACAATCAGTTGTCCTTGCTTGTTCGTAAGTGCACTAAAAATGGTTTCAAAGAAGCTTGCTAAGGATTTAAAATCAACATTCTTTGGCCCACAATCCACTTGATACTTAAGAGTGGCTGGCTTCTACATGTAATTTTAAAGGCCATAACCCTGGATGACATTGTAACAAAACAGCTGGTTGAATGTCCCTTTTCCTTTACCACAAGTTACACTCTGTGATCAA